AAAAAATGAAATATTTTCTTATAATTATTTTTTAAATTTATTATATTTCAACATTCATATAAGCAAAACATTTATAATTTAAATCAAATTGTTGTATTCCTTAAGTATAAACAGTTTAACCGCGGGCAGCATAGACACACTTGTTAATATTGGCTTTGTAGAGTGAACCTTCGGGACAGCTGCCATGAATTGGACGGTCAGCAACGCACAGTTTCTCTGCGTTTTCTGTGAACTTTGCGGGGCAACTACCGGAAACCATGGCGATCAAAGCAAAGACAATAGCTAAAACCCAACCGAAATTCATTTTGTTCTAAAGAATAAATAATAATTTTGTTTAATAATTTAAAATTATTTTTGAAACTTTTAAATATGCATATAAATAAATATATTTAATTTAATATTTATAAATTAATGCACTCACTTTGTTTTGAAATTTGATTGTGGCACTTTTAAAAGTAAAAATCAGACTAAACTTCTCGGTTAAGCAGCTCGGAATTTATATGATTGCATAGGTTTCGTTTAGAAGTCAAGTCCAAACTTTATCGCTAACCTCTGACCATATTAAATAAGCATGTGATTATTTTGTATAAAACCCACTTGTAGATGATTATTTAATAATTGGAATAAATTTTTAAAAATAAATTAATATATTTATAAAATAAAACTTATACTTATCAGTATAAAAGAAACATAGAAAATATAGTTTTGTTTTGTATATATGCCCCCTTGAAATAGTTCTTTCAAACAAACAAGTTTTGAAGAAATAAACAAAAATAATAAAACATATATATATATATTTGGGTGAGCTAGAGTCATTATCAATCTTTCTGGAATGGGGATCAAAGCATCATTTCATACGAAACTGATTTAGATTTAGTATACGTTGATAAGTCGACTAAGTTACAACTGTTGGCTTCAAACTAATATTTTTATAATTGAAAAATGATGTGGAAAAACCAATTATTTATTTTTTTAAATAAATTAAAGCAAAAAACAGAATTAATAAAAGGTAGTCTATTAGTTTTTCCAAATATGTAAAGTTACCAATAACTTTGTGTCAATGTAGTTTATAAAGATGTTATGAATAAATCTTATAATGATGAATAAGAAAAATAAAAGAGTAAAAAAACCGAAAACATAAGAACACATGCAGATACTAGTTTAAGGTAGGTGACTATCTGAATATCTATTATAAACATTATAATGCGATAAACTACTCTACTAGGATGCAGCTTCACTGTTATGTGAAATGAAATGTCAGAAAGTGTTTGGTTTTAGTAATGCAGAAGCACAAGCGTACAAGATGCTAGTATCAAAATTCAGATACTCGCCACAAGAGCTTTAAAATGGAACCCAAGGGTAGTCAGCAAGCAAGTATGTCATCAGAAATGAAGAAAATAATAATTGCGACAAGAAACTACCTGCTACAAAATATATTGCAATGGAGGTAGTTCTAGAGCTCTCAATAATATTAGATTTGAAGAAAGCAGCATTAAAGACTATGTAAGGAAGGAAAGTACTGGATTGATCGACTGAGGAAGGAAATAATATTGGTTCATTATGTTATGTATGTATAATAATGTTACAGTACCAGTGCTTGAACCAATTCTCATATATTATTCGTACCCTAGTAAAATTGCAAAAGGAGATACCTTCCCTGAAATGGCAGTTTTTAATTATAGAACAAAAACAAAAGGCACACAAAGGCTTTTTAAATGGAGATTACGTTTGGTCAATGCTATTTGTTGAGTTATTTGTCAAGAAGTCGTGCTTAACGATGGCTTTGGTATGAATATCGTCTGGTATGGTATGATTATAGTATGGTATGTAGGTAGGATTGCAGAACACTTAAAAACAAAATAGATTTAACAGGTCTGTCTACAAACTACCCAGTAAATAGTAAACAACATATGAATGCGTTGTTGAAGTTATAGGCAAGTACTAATTGAACTCATGGACTGAGTAACCATTTGATTCAACGACTCAAATAATTGTAGCAAGAGCTGATATAAAACCACTGGGCAATATATATTGCGCTTAAGTCCCGAATGGTGATACAGCAGAGTGCTACCAAGTTATAGAAAAAAATGGTGGCTTTAGTTTTCACTTATGTTTTTCAAATAATAAATTACGGATTTCACTATAAGGTTAAGTATGTGAAATAAAAAGTGCTTTTATTTTTTACAATAAAAGGTGATAAGAAAAAAATCTAAAATATAACATTTCATATAATTTTCAAAGTTATTATAAAAACTATTAAGTTACCATTAAATACAAATTTAGTTATAATAAAATTGTTTTTTTTTTTATTTAATACGCTTTTGATACTTTTTCAACCTGAAGCCATTAAAGTCATTCAATAAAGCAAATACCAATGTGGTTTCCTAAAACTAGAAATCTATTTCTAGTCCATAAAATTATTTCAATCTCAGCAAATAGAATTGATTGACTTCTGATTGCATTGATTTTTGCTTTGGTATAAAGTTGCCACAAGCCTGTAAGTACACAAAACCCCCTCCCTCTGGCTCGAAAATAATGAGAAAATATTTGTGAACACTTCGTAGGTGTCAATTTTCATTAAATTGTGGCATCTTTGGCACATTTTTGGAACTTTAGGGAAATCTGAAGTGTTATAAACGAAAGCATTTTTTTTTGTCAGATATTAAAAGAATTTTTGTTTAGTGTAAGCGGATATGAGCATAAGAAATGTAAGTCATGTAGTACCAAACAGAAACTACAAAAAAAAAAAAATTAAAATGATATGAATAAATAGCATATAAACTGTATTTGAGATTGCTGGCGGATATAATACAAAAATTCAATTTAATACTGAATTTTCCAATAAATTTTTGGCTTATGGAAGTTAAAAAAATTGCATGTGTTGTTTTTTTATCACGCTGCATAAAGTTAAACGAAAATGCATAAAAATAAATATGAAGAGTTTATAAAATATATATAGATATTAAAAATTTTTTGGATAATATTCAAAACCACAAAAATCATAGTTGCTGCGTGCTGCTTCCGTTTCCGCCTTATCAAAAGCTGCATTGCAATATGCATCACTGGCTGTTTTTTTTTTGTCTTTTTTTTGCGTTGAGATACTTTTTAAATTATGTAAATGTTTGAAATACAATATTAGAGTTAAAACTTATTTATTTTTTTTATTTTTTTAACAAAAAACAAACGTTTTAACATTGTTTCGAAATAATGTTTTTAAAATAAAAGTTTTAAATATTTTATGAGTTTTGAAACTCATTTTAAATCCGATAAATTAATAATAGTTTGTATAATGTTTTCAAATACAATTTTTTTATTTTTTGCTTTAAAGTAGTAATAGTATGTAACATATATACGAGGGCGGTTTGATAAGTCAGCGACTTTTTGGATTTCTCGCGCAGTTACTCCAAATGCAACAGTGCTGTCGTTAGCAATATTCTACCAGTGGGCAACTTTCTAATTTTGGATAGCCGTTCAAAGCAACAAACTTCGTGAATTCTTACGAAAATGGAAAAAAGCGAATTTCGTTTGCTGTTTAAGCATTATTGGCCAAAATCCACGAATTGGGATAAGAACTGCTACCCCAACCAGCATATTCTCCAGATTTAGCTCCCTGCGACTATTTTCTGTTTTCAAACCTAAAGAAATGGCTGGGCGGTAAGAGATTTGGGTCGAATGAAGAAGTCATTACAGAAACAAGCGCGTACCTATTTTGAGAGCTTTGAGAAAACCTGTTATTTGGAGGGAATAAGAAAATTAGAACAACGCTGGACTAAATGTATTGAGCTAAAAGGTGATTATGTAGAAAAATAAAATGTTTATTTGTCGAAAAAAATTTGTTTTATTCAAAAAGTCACAGACTTATCAAACCGCCCTCGTATTTATATATAATTTCGTAATAATAAAATTATTGCTATAGTAATCTGTATATATATTTTATGTTTATTCTATTTGAACTTTTTCCTAAACAATCTGTACTTTTTATGCGAGTTAACTTCAAGCATTTGAAATATTTTTTAGAGATAGTTTTTTTCTAATATTGACACAATAAAAAATTCTATTAAAAATAAGTATATTTTTCATTAAACATGAAAATTGTGTATAAGCAAAATATATGAAACTGATTTAAATTCTAAATGAAAAATGAAAAATAAAAAATAAATGAACAAGGAAAAATATCACAAAATAAAGATAATATGTGCGCCTGGAAATAAACGAGCTCTGTGAGCGTTGCCCATTATTATTCAAATCCTGATGAAACCGATACAAATTCTATTTAATGTGGTTGACACGATTTCAGTTTTCATACAATTTTGCAAATTAATTTGCACATAAAATGATGGAAATTAAAATTCAACACCAGAATAAATATTTTCCAAAACGGTAATGGCTGCGTTCTGAAGTTTATACGCAAAGTGACTCCATTCTTTGGAGTTTTATGTGGGCGCCAAAAAACAATGGGCTTAGGTTGAATAGATAATTATGCCGGTGCATTTAAATTTATTTATTTATATGCAGAATTTAATTAATTTTGAATTATTTGCGATGTGGTTTCACGCATTTTGGTTTTGTCACAAACAGCTATTTTGCAGATAAGCCACGCCGTGAAGCGAGGTGCAGTTGCATTTCCAACTTTATGAAAACGGCGGAATTGCATATTTCACCGAAGTGAATCAGCATGCAAATTATTGCAAAGATACACAGACTCCACACATATAGAATAGTAAGTGTAGTGAGGGGACTATTAGTGGGTGATATTGAATTATGACAGTTTGTATTACTTTCGACGTCTGATTTTCATTATTATAATTAAAGAATATATGTATATAATACAGACGTAATACAAAAGCAAATACAGACGTAAATTTATGCAAATTTAATATGAAATAAAGTTATTATATTATAATCAAAGCATATTTCACGGTTTTAATAATAAATTTTATTGAATTGCACCAAAAAAATCAGAACAGCTGACAAAAATGCTTAAGACTGTGTGCTAATGAAAAATATTTTTCATATATTGAAGTGATTAAAAATAAATAAAGATAATATATATTTAAATATATATTATAAATATATATATATATTATAAATTTGATTATATATATTCAGATGTCTGAGTTGGTGAATCAGCACCTTTACTCTATTTTATCTGTGGACACTAAGAATAACTGAATACGGGGCTTTATAATATGATGGATCTAATGTCTTTGTATCTGCCTGTGTTTATCAAATGCTGATGCTGAGTGTTGGATTATGTGACTGTCAATTATATTGAACAGTTTCAGAGCACGGTCTTTAATGTATTTTTCGACTGAATCGACTCTCAGATCTCTGTGGATATCCGCTCCTCTTACGTACCATGGGGCGTTAACCAGTTTTCTTAAGGCAATATATTGCCCTCTTTGAAAAGTTTTTAAAGTTGAGTTTGGCGCTTGGCAAAACGCAATACTGCCATAGAGAAGTCCTGATTTAATAATCTGCTTAAATAGACTAACTCTATTCTTTATGTTGAGCTTTTTGCTGCTGAGGAGCGGGTGAAGGGAGTGTAATATTCGGGCAGCTTGAACTCGTTTGGACTTGAAATGTGCTTTCCAGGAGTGCTTGTTATCAAAGGTTATGCCTAGGTATTTGAGAGTATCGGCCCATTCTATTTCTTGTTTTTCTATCTTTAATTTTCTGGGTGCTTGGCGGCGCTTCCTGGTAATGAAAATTGCCCGAGTCTTTTCTGCGTTCAATTTTATTTTCCACTTTTTAAAATACTGAACAAGTACGTCAATGTGACCCTGTATGGTGTTGGAGACATTGCAGGCTATTTTGTCTGAGTACACAATACAAGTGTCGTCAGCATAGAGCGATAGCATAGAAGGCTCGAGTTTCGGTATGTCTGCAGTGAACAGGCTATAGAGCAGTGCAGATAACGGCGACTCCTGTGGTACTCCAGCCTGTATTGATTTTACTGAAGAGGTTGAATTGTTTACTTTGACTTGGAACGACCTTTCATTTAAGAAACTGTCTATGAGCTTGATAATAAATGGTGGAAAGTTCTGAGCAGTTCTTTGTTTAAATTATTTTACTTACTGGTGATGATGAGTTCAAATGAAATCTGAGTAACATAGATATTCTATTCAACCCCATTTGTAGATTCTGCAACCAGGAAGAGTCTAGAGCACACATTAGAAATGCATTGCACTGATAAATATCTCATGAACAATTCAAGCAACAGAGATTGGTTGCTGCTTTCAAGGGCAATAAGCTTGTATAAGATTTTACGGAGTTACCCTATACCTAACATTACAATAAATCTTCTTGTCGCAGTTCTCCAAATAACTCAATCACACAATTTAAATATAATATATCAATTTAATGCATTTTTTTTAAGAAAAGTATTAATATTATTGATATTTAGGTATATAAAATTCATAGGCCACTAAAAAATTTTTCTATTATTATAGAATATAAATTATAAATATATAAATCAAAAATACTATTTCTTTGTAATTGTCAGACTCCATTTCTGTGTGTCAGACTCCATGTAGACCCCCTATGGGTTTGTTGTGTTATTTCTAGAGTTCCTACTAAATGCTGTTCTTTCACTTATAGTGTTTTAGTTATTTTTATGTAAATGTTTAACATAAACTTATTATTATTTATTTTTATACAACCTAAAAATACAAAAGAAAATTTGAAGAATTTATTACAATTTTAAGAAGTATTTAATATTGATGTTTATTTTAAAAATATTTGATTACTGATGTGATTTAAAGTTCACAAAAGTGTATGTGTTTAAATATTTGTTTGATATGTTAAACATTTTTACTTAAATTTTCATAGTTAAAACTTTTTTGTAAAATACTTTAAATTTTTTTTAAAATAAATTTGTAATGCGCTTACGTATTATTTTTCACAGTATTTGCATCCAATTAACACTTTAGCATTGTTGGATTTAAAATTTAAATCATTATCAGCAAATTTGCATACAGAAAAAGTTGACTTTGGGCATTCGAGTGTTTCTACAGTAGAGACTTCCCATTGCAATTATTTCGAGAACTTTTTGCATAACTCTTACGAAAACTGACAGACGTACAGACAGACAGACAAGAAAGACAAAAAAGTACAAAGAGTATAGCAGAATACAGAGGGAAGTACTGTAAAAATAGAAAATAATAAAACTCTTATAAATACTACACAACATAAAAGT